TTTTTTTTGTGTGAAATATTTTCTTACTAAATAACCAAATTTAATTGTTGTTGATACTGCCATATGAATTGACCATAATGTCCAAAAAAAATGTGCAGCTAATGCAAAATAATTTGCTTCTTTCATTATTTTTCGTATCAATGCATTTCGATCAAAATTTATTTCATTACAATGTAAATCATTTGTCATTTCATGTATCGAATAAATATATTTATCATTACTTGAAATCAATGCATCAATATATGATGCAAGAAAATTCATCTAAATCATATATATATATATTTAATATAATTAAAATTTTTTTTCGAATAACTTACTTGTTGATTTTCATTTGGATAATAAGTAAAATCAACTTTAAAAAAAGGCCATTCTTTAGCTGATTTATAATCAAACATAAATTCACAAAAATGATTGCCAATATCAAAACCACTAAAAACAAAATTTTCATTTCAAGTAAAAAAACAAACAAAAACAAAAGGTTTTGTTTCTTTACCGATAATTATATGAACAATATTCAAAATCAATAATAGTAAAACTTTCGTATTGAGAGTTTAAACGAAGAATATTTCCTGATTGTAAATCATTATGAGTGAAACAAACAGGACTATCTATAGTAGATAATAATTCTCTAGAAAAATAACACAAATAATATATAAATGTATATTTAAAATAAAACAAATAATTAATTTACTTTAAATTTTCAAATTCTTGTGTAAAATTACATACAGATCGAAGTTCTTGAAATATTTGTCGATCATCATCTTTTTTTAATTTATCCATAACATATTTTGTATCAGATAAATATCTTAATAAAAATCAAAAATTATAGACAAAATTCGATTAGAAAAATAAATTCTAACCTTTCCATTGTTTTAAATAACCATATAGGTTCTTTAACTAATGGCATATGAATTTGATGAATTTCACCAAGAAGTCCACCAATTTTTTTTGAAATATTTTCATCACGAGTTTCTGAAGTAAGTAATGATTCAGCCTAAGTTAATTATACAATCAATAATTTATCTTATTTTATTTTTTTCGTCATCAATTGCGAAGAAACATATTCATATCTATTATTGTAAGAGTCATGACATGTCTATAATACATATCATTAATCATATCTCCATTATAGAATTCTTCTATTCTATCTATCTAACTTATTCTATAACATGCAAAAACAATTTCTAGAGATCGCTCGTTTACAGTAGTCAAACTCATTAAAAACTAATATAAATATATCATAGAAATTAATATTTACTTCAATAAATTCCTCAAGTCGTCCCTCAGGAAATATACCATGTACATGTGGACCTAATTTTCTTTCAGATAATAATGTACATACGACACTATCATTAAGTAATGTTGAACGATGTTGTCCATGTGATTCACCATAAATTCTTTAAATTAATTCAAATAAAACAATTAAACAAAAAAAATCAAATTATGAATTCAAATACCTTAATAAAACTTTTCGAGGTTCATTATGTTGTGTTTGAATATGATCAGGTAATGAACAACAATAAAGATAGTTCGATAAACCACCACTAATTTTCAAATAAAAATAAAAATAAAAATAAAAACTTTATGAAAATTTTTATATTTAAAAGAAAACTTACGAAATTCGATTCATCTGCATTTCTTCAACAGTTAAAGTTGACCAAACACCACCTAGAAAATGTTGACACCATTCAAGTGCTTGACTTGAAGATACTTTTTCGTGAGTTATAATCACATTATATACCATTGATCTAAATATTTATAATGTTTCAATATTGTGAAACTAATATAATTATTAATAATAAATATACAAATTATTTTTTCTTTTGTATATTACAGATGATTGCCAATTATAAAGCATATAGTTATAACAAAATATTTTCTCATTGCAATGATGCATTTAGAAAATAAACAATAGTTTTTTCATATTATTGACCTATTTCTTACCGCAAGATTTGCAATTCAATCATTGTATCTGTGTATTTTTTCCTCTTCGATTCAAATAGAATAAATGTATATTTTCGAAATTGTTTTTTACTGAACAAATAAAAAACAAAGAAAACATCTGTTACCGATGACATCTATTTTTAATCCTACTGTTCCTAATGATACTTTTTAGTTTGATTGTTTTTTTTTTTCCAGTTACCTCTTGATCAGTCTGATTATTTTCTGTATAAATGTACTGATTTGATTCGTTAATGACATGTTTATATAAATAATATATCTACAAAATAAAAAATAAAAATAAAGATAAAAACCTAAACAGTGAATATCAAAGGAATCAAATCTTTGATCTATAGAAAAAATATAAGTCACGTCTATTGTTTATATCTCTAGCACAAATTATTCGAACTTCAAATGTAAGAAAAATACGTGATAAGAGCATAATTTTTAAATTACAATGCATAATAGACGTGTGTATACTGATAATAAAAAGTGCGAATATTTTTATCTGTTGTATACCCTTTAACACAACAGAAGTTATTATTACATAAAGAATCATTTTCTCAGCGAAGAAAAGAAAGAAATAAAAATATGTATATCAATGATCTGAAAAAAGAAAAGAGTTGCAGTAATAAATATATTTTCCATATACATCACGAGTATCACATGAAAAGACGCAATTTCACAAGACAAAAGAATCCGTCATAGACAAATTTGATTCTTTGATTATCGTGTACAATAAATGACGCATAAGTTGTCTGGCCAATACTTCCCCATATATAAGTTCTTATGTATCATCATATTAGTAATTCCACGTTGACATGACTCACTTATAATAAATTCAGATACAATCACAATAATTCAGTATATTATGATAACTAATTCCAAAATAAACATGTTGAAAGATGTTATTTAGAAATATTTTCAGTGGGAAAATGTTTGCTAAAGAATAACTTATTATATATAGTATCACAATGGACATATTCGAATATCATTTTTTTGTTCCTAACAGAATAATATTGAAAGAAATGGATAACATAAAACAATTATTTGATCAATGAAAAAAACAAAGAGATAAACAAATCTCATTATAAAATGGTTTTAAAAATATCAAAAATTTATTAACATACTGTTGTTTTTTAATTATTGATTTACCTTTACAAAGAGATTACTATTAAACGATTAGTACTACGAATTTCGAACATTTAGCTTTTGATAATCTCAAATTCAATAGAAAAATTTACATTAGGTGAAGTAAAAATGCACTTGAAATATTCTCATGAAAGTATTTTTTCAGTATAAATCAATAAAACAATATGTTGATAACGTGGGAAATATTTTATTAACAATAAATACAGACGGTAATAAACGACAGATGACAAATGTGAATATATATCTTAAGAATGACGACCTTGACGTTAACGATAGTAAATATAATAAACCTTGATACCTGAATTAGCTTAGTTTTTCCTTCGTCAAAATACTCATAAAGTACGCATGCTAGAAAATATTTTAGTCAAATAGAAAAATTTCGATCGCTAAATATGCCGACATGTAAAAAGATGGAAAGATAAAAATGCTGACTTGAGGGTATGGAGGGTGTGGGTGTGGGTAGATGAGAACGAAGAAAACGCGCCCACTCACGCCTACACTTACAGCCCCATTATACTTTACCAATTGACCGGAGATTATCATCTTTGTTCCAGTAATCAACTGTTGATATTTCCATTTTCTATGCTAATCATTTCCAACATTAGAACTATCATAAAATCATATATTTCGACTTTTTTTTTTTACATTCTATATTTTTGCTTTTCGACATTAGTAAGGTAAATCAAATTAATACCGTTTAACATATTATAGTGCATAAGTGTCTTTCTGAATAGTCTGAAAAAAACAAGAATGAGTACTGTTAGCTCGTATCCGACAAGTTTCAACATAATTTTTTTAATTTATATCCAGTTATCTTTAAATCATATACGTATATAGATATATCATAAGAGATAAAGAAAAGAGAGAAGAAAAAAAATAACAATAATGATAACAATGGCTAAAGAAGAAAGAGAGAGAGAGAGAGAGATCAAGGACAGGATGAGAGATGAATCACTGCTAACAAACTATCCAGTAGAGTACACGAGAAGTATATATACAAATACAATTGGTTGAGTATTCATGCTGGTAAATTGTATTTGTTGAATGAGTGTTTTTTACAAAGCTTCATAGATATCATTTGTAGATAATATTATTCGAGAAATAAATTTCTATCTAAAGAAAGCACTGATTCTTAATAATATAAAGAATTTTTAAGAGCGTTGTATCTCTTAATACGAGACATGTGGTTTTTTTTTATGTAGAGAGTTATGATCAGTTTTAAACATTCTTTTAGAATTTATGATTAGATTTTATTCAATGCAAAATATAGGTTGCAGAATCAATTGATTGGACGAAAAAAGACTAAAAAAGTTTTTGATAAATTTCGAAGTCTTTGTTGTGTTTCTATGAATTTTTACCACAGTTACTAACAGATCGACAAAAACCTGATAAGAGTTAATATTAACAATCGACAGGTAGCTGCACTCTTAATAAAAAAACCAAGGCCATCTTTGACATTATGTTCAAGAAATTGATGTATCCCTAAATCTGCATAATGCAAAACAAATTTTAGATTTTTTTTATTACACAATTAATTCAGTTTCAACGAATTCATCAATCATAAGTAACATAATTTCAAAAAAAAAAACTACTTTATTTTTAGATGATGATCTTAGGTGATTATATTAATCCACTAGATTCTGGTAAGTATATATTTCCAATCGGATATAATAATATTCAATAAAATTTTTATTGTTTTATTTTTATTTTTTATTTATTAATGTTTATTGTTATCATTTATTATATATTTAATAAAAAATAAAATAAAATCGCATGTAAATCCAAGTTGATTATGTTTTTTTTTTGGTTTAGTGAATTTTCAAAAAAAAAAAAACGTGACTAGGCATATGTACACTAAACTCAAAAAAACCAATGTAATATTAAATATTTTTTTTCTTTGTTATAATTTATTTTTCTGGTTCTTTTGGTGGTTTAAGTGGATCTTCATAACGAAGAAATGGATTGGAAACAATTCGTGTATGAATTTCAACAAATAATGGAACATAAATAAGCCAATCCATAAAATCAACATAATTTTTACCTTCACGATCAAATTTTTTCTTGCACTAATAAAAAAAAAATAAATAAAGATATCAAAATATTTCTTTTTTCTTTTTTGTCAGTTAACTTCTATTTACATTTTCAATATTATCGCGTTCAACTCCACCTGCAGCTAATTCAATACATAAAGCACGAAGTGGTACATAACCTTTTGGTGCAAGTTTTTGACTTTTATCTGCCATAAGATAAAATAATTCCTATCAATAAAGATAAAAAGAAAAATATCTAATTGATAATTATTTGTAATATAAATTTCTAACTTTAGCTTTTTGCATTTTAATATCAAGTGCTTCATAATCAAATTTATTAATTAATTTACGAACAAATGGTCTATAATAAAAATCAATATAAAAATAATTTATTTTTAAATTTCATTAAACGTACTCAATTTGATTAACTTTTTCTGAAAGTGCAGCAATAATACTGAATACTTTTAAATTAATACGTTTTACACCAGGAATTTTAAGAATCTAAAACATACACACAAAAAAAAGAAAAGAATGAAATCCTCTTTTTTTTTGTTTTGCTTTTAAATTCATATAAAAATACATACAAATTTAATATATTGACATTCTTTGGGAGTTATTAAATTTCCATTTATTTGTCGTAGTGCTTTATCAAGTTCTTCAACATTCATTTCATAATCCTTAATTATATATAAGTGTAAATAAAAATCAGTTTTGTTTTTGTTAAATAATAAAAAATGATTTAACTTACAATACTTGGATGTAATGCATTCCATAATGGACTTTGTTGACGACGAAATTTTTCAACTCGTTTATATTTATACATAGTTTGTTGTCGTTCTTCTTGATCACGAGCAAGAAGACTTTCTCGTTCACCTGTTAAAATAAAAAAAAAAAAAGAAAATTTATTCAATTTCTTTTTACAAAAACATAATGATGATATATACCAAGTAACATTTCAATTCTCATACGTAATTGTGCTAGTTTATTTTTACTCCAATTAGCTTGCCCATTTAATTGTTTAATTTCTGTTTGACCATTAACCTAAAAATAAAATTTTTTCTCTCAAAAATTAATCTTTTTTTGTTTTTCTTATTTACAATTTGTAGTTGACTTTTTGATAATCGAGTTAATAATTGTTCTGTAGTATATAATGATCCATAACTTTTTAGTTCACCGATTGTTTTTTCGGATGTCTTTAAGAAGAAAAAAAAGATAAATGAGAATAGACATGAATGAAGTTACTTTTTGTTTTTTCTTTTTTGGATCATATTCAGGATCGAGAATTTCAGGATAAAGATCCATAATAGCTACAGCAGTCATTCGATCAATTTGTTCTAAAGAACAAAGAAAAAAAGAAATAATAATAAAATCAATTATAGAAGATAATTTAAATGCAAAAATTTTTTATTTTACCATTTGTTGTTTGAAATGTTTGATTAACTTCGGCTTCTTTCTTTCGAAGATCATCAATAATAAAATTGATTTTTTCAAGTTTTTGAGCTGTTTCAGACTATTGAAAATAAATATATATATTATTAAATCGTACAATTTGAGAAAATTAAGATGAAAAGATACATAATTGATTGATGGTTGTCAGCAACTGACTTCAGTTTATATACGAAAAGTGTTTAAAGTTATCGGAGAGGATTTTCGAACTTATATATGAACTCACTACTGATTTTGATAGTAGTAAAAGGCGACACTGAGTTATCAATATTCACTAGACATGTATTCAGGATGCTAAACTTTTGTAATCATTGGACATGTCCAATGTCGGATGAGCGGGGAAGAAGTTTTTGTTAAAATCTTCATTAGTCTTCGAATTCAACATCTATCTAGAGACTAATAGAGATTTTAATAAAAACTTCTTTCTCGATCATCTGATCTTGAACGCTAACGTATGTGTTTATTATTCCTAAACACATTATTTTTGTTTCAATATAATTACTTTCATCGGTGGTACATCTGGATCAAACGCTCCATCACGTATTTCTTTTTCAAAATTAACCATATTTGGACCATTACGTTGTTTAGTAATGTTTGGTTTACTAAAAATTATAATAATTCAAATATATAAACAAAACGAAGAATTCATTTCTTACTCAATATCTTCATCTTCATCACTTGAATCAAGTGCATGATATTGTTTTGCATCATGTACATATTTTCCACCACCACCAACATTTGTCCATACACCTCCATCTGTATTATTTCGTTTTAAATTGATTAATTTTGTTGTACTCTCTGGTGGATTTTGACCTTCGAATTTTGCTTTTTGTTTTTTAACTGCATTTAAAAAGACACGTTCATAATTAGCCATACGATCAGGACTATGAAAACAAAATTTTTCTTAAAAGAAAATGAAACAATATTAAAATGAACTGACTGTATAATACAATATTTATAAAGATAATCTAATGGATCTTCAATTTCTTGTAATTTATCTTTTGATAATGGTGGTACCTCTGCAATACGTTGTTTAGCACGTTTTTTTCTATCAATTAAAAAACAAAAAATTAAAAAAGTTAAATAAGATAAATGAACAAACCTAATTTCTTCTATAAGTTGACGACGAACTTCCGGTGGTAAATTTGGATCCAAATTAAGAAATTCTGGATCTTGTAATAAACCTTCTAATTCACTTTCATCAATATTTGCTAATACTTCCATATCAGCATCAAGATGAGAACCACTCTATAGAGATTATTTTCAAAGATTAAATTTTTATATTTAAGCCCAATATCGATTTTTAAGAGAAAGAGAACTTAACGATTTCTTGCATAGAATTTATTATTTTTAGTTTGAAAATTATAGGATTAACTCTTTATATCTCATAGTCGTTACAGAAGAGCTACTGATAAAATAACTTTATAAATATAGTATTAGCTTGTCTAATATGCTAATGATATAATCTGATGCACTGAACGTTCATCTCTTTATGTAGGACAGTGTGGTGAAGAAAGGAGATTGAACGATATACTAAGACTTGATTTTGTTTTCTTGGTTCACATTACTGAATGGACAAAAGCCACATCAATTTCATATTATTATAGTAATCGAAAAAAAAAGGAAAGTATATAAACCGACAAAAATTAATCTCAAAAAAATACATATGTTTTTGACATATTGTATTAAATAAACATTTACTTTGCTTTGAACCATTTTATATAACCTCTAAAGACATTTCATTCATAATAAATCCTTTTTTTCAAGTTTTTACGAGTTAAGATTTATAGTACATATACTAACTTTGTTCTTAACTGCCCAATAATAGCTGCACGGTTAACTGTATCCCTTAGTATATGTAATTCATCGATTTATACCATATAGAAATTCCTAAAGATCTCTATTGAGTGTAGATCGAGAACATTTTGTTTCGAAAAATTCGAATTTTTCAAAATTATCGACTTTGTAGGCGCTTGATATTTCAACAGTAAAGCAATGAAAAAAAAATATTCTCTTTACCAATTACTGGCTCATAAAGTTTCATTTGAAAAAATGTAGGAAAGATAAAGGATTAAAATTTATTTAACAGAAGTAGATAGTTGAAATTTGTAAAATATAAATCACAAATTTTCCTTACTTCTTTACCAAACAAACGTCCATATAAATCTTCGAGTTTCTTCGATATTTTTTTTGACACTGGTGGTACATCCTTTTAAAAAAAAACCGCAGACATGTTATATGTTCATATAAATACATAAAAATTTATTTATACCAACCACTTTTGGTTTTTTGACTTCTGGTTTTGGTTTTGGTACAACTTTTCCAACACCTTCGACACCTTTTGTTAATGGATCTAATGCTAAAATAAATGATATATTAAAAAATAACACAAAATTTAATGAATTACTTCTTAATTTTTCTTTTATTTTTTTGTTTGAATTAATTTGTTGCATTAATTTTTCTCGTATAGCTGGTGGAAGATTTTTTGAAGCAAGTAATGCTGCAATAACATCTGGTGATAATTGTTCAGCATTTTTAACTAAATCTTCAAGAACATTTATTGGAATTTCATCCATATGTTTTAATAATTCTTTTAATGCTTCTGGTGGAAGTTTATCAGCTTTAATAAATAATTCTTTAATTGCTGTTGGTGTTAAATTTGTTATATTTTTCTATTGAAAAAAGAAAAACAATTAAAAAAAAAAAAGCAAAAATAAAAGAATTTAATAAATAATTTTACTATTATATCTGATAGAACTTTTGGATCCACATCAGCTGAATTTCCTAACATTTCACGTATAATATGTGCTTGTGTTTTTGAATCAAGATCTCGTATATTTTTCATCATTTCATTCATAACACGTTGTTTCATTTCAGGAGGTAATGTATTTAAATTTTTTGCTAATTCATTTAATTCTTTTGCAGACATATTTTCAACACTTTGAAGAACTTTTTCGAGTATTTCTGGTGATAATTCTTTCGAATTTTTAAGTACACTAAGTAATGTTGATGGATCAATGGGTTTTTTTGTTATTTCATCAACTATTTTCTTTTTCATTTCATTACTTATTTGTCCACTATTAAGTAATTCTTTTAATAAATCTTTTCTATCAGGATCATTAACAAGATCTTTAAAATAGATAATAAAATTTTTATTTTATTTATAATATAAGCAAAAAAAAAAAAAGAAAAAAGAAATAATACAAACTAGCTAAAAATTTTTCACGTTCTTCTGGTGGCATTTGATTAATATTTTTAATCATTTCATCCATTAATTTATTTCGCATAGCAGGATTTAAATTGTCACTATTTTCAAGCATTTTTGATAATACTTTTTGTTTTTCTTCATTTGGTAAATCATCTAATGTTTTAAGCATTTGTTCCATTAATTTTGCTTTTGTTTTAGGATCTACATAGCAAAAAAAGAACAATTGAGAAAATAAAAATCAAATTTGATCTACCAAGATGATCACTATTTTCTAACATTTTTTCTAATAATTTTTGTCTTTCTTCTGGTGGTAAATCATTAGCATTTTTTAACATTTCTTCCATTAATTTTGCTCGTACAGTTGGATCTAAATTTGGATTATCAAGAACTTTTTCCATTAATTTAATACGTTCTTCAGCTGGTAAATCTTTCATTTCATTTAATAAATCAGTAATCATTTGTTTTTGTACTTCAGCTGGCATACCTAAAATAAATTAGAAAAAAAAAAAAAGTTAATTTTAATCAATAAAAAAACAAACAAACAATGAAATTTTACCAGCGGCAGATTTAAGTAAATCATCAACTAATTTTTCTTTCATTTCAGGTGGTAATTCATCAAATTTTTCTAAAATTTGTTTTAATAATTCTTTTTGTTCTCCAGGTGGTAAATCATTAATATTTGATAATAATTGTGTCATTGTTTCAGGTGGTAAATCTTTTAAATTCTGTAACATATCATTAATAAGTTTTTTTTTCATTTCAGGATCTTTAACATTATCAATTTCATGCATTAATTGATTGAAAACTTTTTCTTTTTCTTCTTGTGTTAAATTATCAGGATTTTCTAATAGTTTAGCTAACATTTTTACACGAGTTTCTTGATCCAAATCAGAGTCTTTATTTAATAAATCTTGAAGCTAATCATGAGAAAAAAAAATATATATCTATTATGTTTTATTCAATAGAATGATGTTTTTTTAGTATCTTCAAGGTATGATTGAAACTTTTCAAATGGAAATTATTATGTGATTATGAACTCAACGAAATAATAGAATATCCATTCTTTCTGGAATTAATAGATTCAAGAAAGGTGTAGGATACATGATGTTGTAACAAGAGTTCGTCTGGTTTAGGTCCGAGACCGACTCAACAGATCATATTCTAAAGGCGATAGTCAATTATATTTTGATTATTTATAAAATCATCGTCAAAATTGTCTGAGTAATATGTAAGGTGTGTTATCAGAGTGACTTGAAGAGTCACATTAAAAATCGTCGTTAAAATTGGGAGTACGGTTCGTTAATGAAATATTTCTCGATTTTTATGGTATTTTGCTATATAGCGTTATTATAATATTATAAGATACTTCATGAATATGATTAACCCTTTGAGTACGGGCGACGCAAAGTCGCGTCCTGATATTTTGGGACCTAAATAACCTTAAAAAATACGGTCTGTTGATTATTTAATGATAGAAATTGCAAGGAGATTTTTGTTTAGAATATTTATGCGTTAAGATTGTCTATACTTACTGATGATTATTGGTTGTCCCTTAATTCTTTGAGTACGAGATTATTTTTATATAGTCAAAAGGGCGAATGATAGACAAATCGGCCCTATAAAAATTTTTTGTTCGAAATCCCAACTATATTAAACTAAATGAAAGAGCTCGGTGAGTTGAGCACTTTTTGTGACGGAATTCGATCTTGTAAATGAAACCATGAAGAGTTCTGAGGATGATAACGATTAAAATGACTAAAATTGTACAAGTTAACTTACTTAGAACTCTTCACGGTTTCATTTACAAGATTAAATTCTGTCACAAATCGTGCTCAACTCACCGAGTTCTTTCGTTTGTTATAATATACTTGAAGTTTCGAATCAAAAAATTTTTATAGGGTCGATTTGTCTATCATTCGTCCTTTTGACCATATAAAAATAATCTCGTACTGAAAGGGTTAAACACTAGTTATGAAATATTTTCTACAATTTAGTTACCGACCAGTTCCAGTTGCTATCTCGAATCTTTAAAATATGTGCAGTGAATAGTAATCACATACTATTTCTATGATGAAAAATAGATGTTAGTTGCAATATGAAATAGACATGAAATTTTAACTATGTGTCATTCGGAATCGGTTTTTTTTCTACTACAGTCTTTCATATAGTTTTTATTAGGGCTCTCGATTACGGGGAGCTCCCCTCCAAATATTCGACTTTCTGCCGATTTGTTCATAGCTTCATGGTAATTTTGGATAGAAAATGACTTTTGAAACACCCTTTGCCTTTCTTTGGCAGAAAGTATAAAATAAAAATAAGTAAACCATGTTGTTGTGCCGAATTTTTAGTCTCCTCTAAAAAATATCGACACAATTCTGATTCTTATAGTAAACTATTAGTAGATTTTCATATATGAATTCAATCTGGAGTTTATATATCTATCTGTTATTAAACCTACCAATTTTTCTTTAACAGCTGGTGGTAAATTATCCATATTATCTACTAAACCTTTCATGATTTGTTCTTTTAATGCTGGATCAAGTCCATCTAAATTTTTCATTAAAGTTTCTAATTGTTGTGCATTAAGATTTCCTGGATTTTTTAAAAGTTCACCAATAACAGCTGCTTTTTGTTCATCATCAAGATTCTCCATTGAATTCATAACATCAGCAAGTAATTTTGTTCGTATTTCTTCAGGTAAAACATTTATATGTTTAGCTAATTCAGCTAATGATGATGGTGCTAATTTATCAACAGAACTAAGTAATTCTGTAAGAACAGCTTGTGGTACATTAGCACTATTACGAATAATTTCTTCAAGAACTGATGGTGGTAATTCATCTTTTTTTTGTAAAATTTCAGCATAAAGACGTTCTTGTAAATCTGGTGGTAATTCACCAACATTTTTAACTAATTCTTGTAATGCACTTGCAGAAAGATTTGATGGATTTTTAAGAATTTCTTCAAGTAATTGACGTTTCATTTCTGGATCATCTAATGTTGAAGATTTTTCAATAATTTTTTTTAATATTTCATCACGTTCATTAGCTGGTACATCATTAAGTGCTTGAAGAAAATTTTGTAATACTTGACCATGCATTGTATCATCAATTAAATCTAAATTATTAAGAATTTCTTTCATAACATTTTGTCGTAATGTTGGATCCATATTATCAACATTTTTTAATAATTCAACAACTAATTTACGTTTTAATTCTTCAGGCATTCCAGGAACATTTTTTAATATTTCAGCATACACTATTTATTAAAAATAAAAATTATTTTATTTTACTAAAGCAAAACAAAACAAATTTATTTACTTTGATCACGTAATTCTGGTGGTAATTCTTCAGATTTTTCAAGTAATTTTTCAAGTAATTGTTGACGAATATTTGATGGAAGTGTAGCAAGATTTTTTGTTAATTCAGCTAAAACACGTTCACGTTCTTCTGGTGGTAATGTATCAAGACTATCAAGAAGATTTTGTAAAATATTATCACGCATTGCTGCTGGTATTGTATCAGCATCACGTAAAAGATCTTGTAATAATTGTATTTTAGCATCTGGTGTTAAATTATCCATATTTTCCATAATTTTTTCAATTAATGCATTACGACTTTCTTCAGGCATTGATGAAATTTTTTTAACAAGATCGTGTAAAACTTTTTGACGATCTTCTTCTGATAATGTATCAAGTGTACCAAGTATATGTTGAAGAACTTGTTCACGAGCTTCAGGTGGAACATTTTCTATGGATTTTATTAATTGTTCGGTAACTAAAAAATTTATTAGAATTATTAATTTGAAAAATAATGTGAATCTTCTTGACCTCAACATACTCCTATATTTATTTAAATCGTTGAATTTTGTCTATTAAAAACATATAACATATTTTAACTGGGTGAAAAACGGATTCTAATCTTGAAAAGTTAGACGTCACCATCAATCTTATCTAAGTATCTGTCATGATTTTAATTTCTTCGATTTGATAATAAAATTAGTACTGAGATTTCTAGAAAACTATCAGAAAAAAGTCAGAAAACTCCTAAATATATTATAATAACTATTTATTTCAAAATAATAATAATTTTACTCGAGTAAACATTTTTTATTTTTGATTATATTTCAATGTATTGTCCTACATTTTACATATAGAAAGTTATTGTGCTTTGTTTTTTGTCTTTCATCAATATAATAATCATGATAGACTTTGTTTCGAATTTTTATGGAAGCTTTTCATATTTCTATGAAACCTTAAAATATCTGATGTACATACTTCAAATATTTTCTCAATCGATTTATCTTAAACAAGTCCAGGTTAGAAAAACAATATATTTCTATCATACATCAAGTATAGAAATAGTTTTAATAAAAATAAATCAATAAACTTTGTGAACCTTTTGCTCGCATTTCTGGTGGTAATGAAGCTAAATTTTGTGCTAATTCAGTAAATACTTTTTCTTGCATTTCAACTAAAAAAAGAAAAATAAACAAACAAATTCAATAAATAAGAAGATTTATTATTCAATATGAAATTTATTTTACCAGATAATTTTCCTTCACTAGCTAATTTTGCTAGATCCAATAAAGCATCATTTCTAACATTGGCTGGTAAATCGTCTAATGATGTAAAATCACCTCGTAATAAACTTGTTAATACTTGTGTCATAATCATTTTTCTTTTAAGAAAATAGAATAGAATAATAGTAATTTATCAAAATTTTCCAAGTCATTTTATTTCTTACTTGCGATTATCCATAGGTCCAAAACCAGAAACGATTTTATCTAATGAAGATGTAGTTGATACAAATGATAAAAAAAGTTGTTTGACACTTTTGAATGAATCAACATTATCCATAAATGCAGGATGTGGTACAGTGTCCATACTCTTACAATATTGCTCCATTGTTCGACGATCAACACTATCAGGGAAAAAAACATCATATAATAAATAATAAGAAAACCAATCTAAACCTACGTGGCTTGATCTAATCGTCTATCAGGTAAAAGATAATCCTATCCATAAAATGTTTGTTTTATAAAAATAATAACAAAAGAAAAATAAAATATTTACCCAAAATGACATATCAAAATGTTCAAGTTTATGAGGATCAAGCATTTTTGGTGGTTTTTTCATTGAACGAAAATCATCATATTCTAATGAACGTGAATAATCCGGTCTTGATGGCACTGGTGCATGTGGTAATCTAAACAATATTTTATTTTTTAATATCAAACCAAAAAATAAAAAATCTAATATATATTATTTTTTTTTTCATACCGCCATTCCATTTCAGTCAATCGTCGATTTGGTTCCAATAATTTTGTTTTAGCTCGATAAATTGCATTTTGAAAAGATGTTTCTGTTTTAAGTTCAAAACCCATTGAATTTCGTAAAACAATTTTTGGTAATTTAGGTGTATTAGGAACTGCTGATAGTACATCGCTTTTTTTTACTGATTGATTACCAAATGATGTTAACGTCCAACTATTGAAATCCATTCTAGGTTTGAATAGAAACTATTTAAAAATATATGCAACAACAAGCAAGTTTTATTGTTTCTTTTTTTTTTTGCACTTTTTTTTTCTTTCAATGTTGCATATGAACGAAAACAAATAAATTCAATTTTCAATATTTCTCTCCTTTTTTTTTTCTTTTTTGGCCTCAAACATTCGATGTTTAAGTGCATTAGTTTTCATAAAAAACCTATGTAGAAAAGAGAAGGAGGAGGAGGAGGAGAAAAAGAAAAATATTTCCGATGAAAAAAAAGAAAAAATAAATAAATGTTTTAAACAAATTTCAACAATCAAATATAATAGAGACTTTCAAATAGACACTTTAGATTATTGCCATCAGCAATGAGTAGTTCTCTTTTTTTTTTTTTTGTTTTAACCTGACATTTTCTTTTTGTGTCTATCGATAAAAAAATACAATATAAAAGCTATCAATAATAATAGAAGAAAAAAATTGAGAGAAGAAAAAAATAAAAATACAATACACATGAATGACTTGAAGCGCTTTGTGTTGACAGAATTTGTTGTTATATTCATACATATATATGTGAAGTTTTTGATGAATTTTTAAAAAAACATAGAAGACATATAAAGTCATTGTATTTTTCAAAATTTTGGAGTTCGTACTGGAAAAAGACATTATTTTTAATGATCCTGTAATGAAGCATTGGTTTAGAAAAAAAGAAAAATTTATATTTAAAGTAAAACAAAAGAAAAAAAGTCCCATGATATTTCTATCAAAATTAACGTTAGATTTGTTGTTTTACAAAACAAAATAATATTTCATTTTGTGATAAGCAAGATTATATCAAAAGTTTAGATAACAAATGTTAAAATTCATATTGAGCGTTCGAAATTAAATATTTTGATTGAACATGAAAACAAAGATTTTATTGAATAATTTCAAATTCAAGACTAATTATGATTTATTAATTATATATAGATATTTGATATTTTTATAATTAAATCATGCATTGTATAATTCAAAAATAATCAATAGTTTCTTATTCAAATATTTTGATCGAAAGTTTTTATTATGAAAATAAACATCGATTAAGATGAAAATAAAAATAATAAGAATTGTTATTTCAATAAATTATTTAAATTCTTTTTCTCGAGGCTTTTTTACAATCTAGGGATCAACTTATTAATTAATATTATGCTCATGCAAATTCAATTCAGTATTGATTTACTAATGTTTACTATGGAAATTTTTTTTTCCTGTATCAGATAGTATTCGAATGAAATTCGAAGTTGGAAATGATATTTTAAAAACTATAAATGGAAGTTTACATTCTTATTTTTCCTAGAAATGATGATTCAGGTACATCTGCTTCTTGATTTGACAAGACAAGTTGAGTTTGACTTAATACTTGCTAAACAAAATTATTATGAAGCTAAAATGACACGTACAAGTGAAGATACAATAAATGAATTAGTATACAATACCCGACAATGTGAATTTTATCTTAGTACTGCGGTCTATCACGTAACATTGCTGCTCAAGGATGTGGTTGTGGGGGTGGATGTGGATGTGGATAAAGGGAATGTCTACACCCATACCAACACTCACACCCGAGAAGGTTGCAACTCGTCACGTGATAAGTTGAATTTTTCAGAAAAAACAGGGCTTTCGTAACGCTAAAAATAGGGATATACGAGAAAGCAGGGATATCGTAACAAAATTTACAGGGCAATCGTAGCTGTTATTTACAGGGAGTTCGTAACAGTTGCAGAATTTTCGCAACGAGCCAACAGAGATTTCGTAACAAAAATTAGGGGTATCATAACGAAGTCACATATCAAACCACCGGTTACGATCACTCTGTAAAATTCGTTACGATAGCTCTGATTTTTTGTTACGAAAGCCCTGATTCTGTCGTTACGAAACCTCTGTTACGGGCTTTCGTACTGTCAATTCGTTACGAAAGCCAGACAAGAAAAATCGTGACGAGTTGCAACTTTTCCTCACACCGACACTCAAGTCTCATTTTGCATGGCTGAAAGGGGAGATTGATTTTACGATTAAACTTCTCAATATTGGAGATAATGGTTAGATGACTGATTCCTATTGAAAACAGAAACAAATTGAGTAACCTTGTTCCAGTGATGTCGCACTGATACAACTCGCCTTCTATTTCCATTTTTTTATTTCATTTTTTATTTCTTCTTCTATTTCTTTCTCAGTGATATATCTAGTATTCTCCTTTGTTATTCATATATCTAGTCTCTGTTCTCTTTCTTTTCTTTCTTCTCGTTTACTATATATGTGCGTGTTTTTCATTATTTTAACAGATAATAAAAGATCGTGTGTAAGTGTATACACACAAACATACACATTTTTTAAAAGAAGGAGAACAAACTGTAGCGTGATCCAAAAGGACGAACGCTAACAAACCTCCTGGTAATAAGAAAAATTTGATCTGCTGCTCTTATTACACAGGTTGA